ACACACACACACACACACACACACACACACACACACACACACACACACTGCAAGAATTTGTGGGTAAGAGGCTGCCTGCTCCATGGTGGCCAGAAAATAAAGGTGATCCAAGAAGGAGCCAGGGTCCTTATATCCTTTTCAAGAACATGCATCTAGGGACCTAATTTCTTCCCAGTCACCTACATCTCCTAAAAGATTGTACCTTTCCCCAAGAATCCTAAAGAATTGGGACCAAACCTTTGTTTAATATGTTGTTTGGAAAAGATCTGTATTAGGTACATTCTGTCATTATTCAAACTTAGGGAAGCAGATAATCTGAGTATCTTTACCTCTTAGAGAAACTGAGTCAATAATTGACAGCCTTACAAAATTGAACATAGCTGGATGAGATGGGTTCAGTCGTTAATTCTGTGAAAAAATTAAGAATGATATTATACCCCTTTTCTATAATGTATTTCTAAAAAATTATAGCAGAGAATCCTATTAGTTTTTGTTTTTTGAGGTCCACTTGCCCTAATATCAAGCTCACACATAAGGAAGGATGGCATGGTTGTCACGAACATGAACAAAACTCTAAGTAAACTAGCAAGTATGTCGTGGCCAAGTGCTACTTATTTTAGGTCTGCAAGTGTGTATCAGCATTCAGACATCGGTGAATGAAAGTCATCATGTCTAACAGACTCAAAAAGAAAAGCTTTATCAGTAGGTAAAGAAAAATAGTCATTCACGCTAAATTCTCAACAAACAAAAATCAAGACAGGGCTGGGGACATTTCCTCTACCTTATAAAAAGTATCTATAAAACCCACAGAGATAACGTCAGACGTAATGGTGAGAAACCAGATGTTTTCCTGCTAAGATTGTGAACAAGGAAGCAGAGTTTCCCTCTTTTACCATTCTTTTGCACCATCTAACAACACAACACAAGAAAATCTGTGTGGAGAGGGAAGGAAGAAATAAAACCCTTTTCTAAATAACATGAGCAACTGTAGAAAATCCTAAGGAAATAACAGAATAATGAAAAGAACTGATTATATTAACATTCAGGATACAAATTAGCATAAAAGCCAGTTTCTTTTCTTCATGTGAGTAGTAACTAACCCAAGTTTAAAGTTCGAAAAACAGCAACCACAATTCTATTTATATTGGTAACCAGAAGTAAGACTATAGTACTTGTTAGTCTAACAATATATAATTCCTATATGATGAAATCTACAGAACTCTGATGAAAGAAACCAAAGTATTTTTCATGTAAATTTGAAAGGCAAAACACAGAATGTTTAACCAGTGTTATAAAGGACAGTTAGGGGACTTGAGCTCATGCCTTACTATAAATGAAGATGTAGAAATATAACTTTGGCCAAAAAACAGTCTAATAGATGAATAAGGTGGGGCTGCTTACCCTAAAACTATGCACATACATAGGTATTCAACTGTTCATTTAGAAAGAGTAAAGGCATTGTAATAGAGAATGGAATGAGGTTTCCTTTTCAACAAATGATGATGGACATTTGCGAAAACAGCAAAACTACAAGAGTCTCAGATGCAGATCTTACATCTACCACTAACATTACTGAAAACGTAAACTCTGAACATAAATTGTGCAATACTACACCCCATAGCAGATAGCATAGGAAGAAATGTAGGTTTTCTTGGATTTGGCAGTGGCTTTTTTTCTTAAAGGTTTATTTTGATTACTTCTATTTGTGTGTGTTTGTGTGTCTGTGTGCGTGCGCGCACGTGCATGCACGCTCTTGGAGGCCAGAGGATCTTGTCAGGTCCCTGGGAGATGGGGTTTTAGATGGTTGCAAGTTACCCATGTGGATGCTGCAAACCATCTGCTTTCTCCTGGAGGGTCAGCAAGTATGGAGCCTTCTTCCCACTCTCACTGTTAATGACTTTCTATATACAGTAAAAGATAAGTTTGATTTAGTTAATAATGAAAACTTTTAAGCTGGACTTATAAATGCATGGCTGTAATCCCAGCATTCCAGGAGCAAAGGAGCAAAGGAGTGTCTATGAGTTTCAGGCCATCCTGGCCTACATAATGAGTGTGAGGCTATAGCAAAACTGCCTTTATGCTCCTGCTATCTCGAAATGAGATGAACATAAAACTACCAAATATATGCTTGGAGAAAGGCACTGTTTAAAGAAATAAAAGACAATGCACAGATTGGAAGAAAATGTTTGTGAAACATGTTTCTTAATAAAGAAGTCGTATCTAAAGTACAGAAAATTGGGGCTAGAGAGATGGCTTAGCAGGTAAGAACACTGTCTGCTCTTCCAGAGGTCCTGAGTTCAATTCCCAGCAACTACATGGTGGCTCACAACCATCTATACTGGCATCGTATGCCCTCTTCTGGCATGCAGATGTACATGCAGATAAAGCACTCAAATAAATAAATCTTTAAAAAAATTTTAAAAATGAAAAATAATAATAAAGTACAGAAAATTAATGAAACATAGGCAAGTAAAAACAAAGACACCCATTAAGTTTGCTTGGAGAGATGTGTCAGCAGTTAAGAACACTTGTTCTTCTTGCAGAGTTGGGTTGTCAGCACCCACTTAGTAACTGCTCAGCATTCCAGGGGATTGACACCATCTTCTAGATTACACAGAGTCGGCCCACTCATGTTGAACATATGTACCCGTAGACGGACATTTGTACATGCAAATAAATCTTTTAAAAACACATTGAAATGAACAAAAGTCATGAACAAATCCATCAGCAAGGAGCATCTCCAGGTGCCAATATTAATCTAAAGAGATATTCTGCATTGCTTCATTAGTAAATTGTAAATTTGAAAACTGTGAAATACCTTTATTGCCTAGCAACATCAGATTCTGACGCTAATGCCAATCTGTGCTGCCATTTTGGAAGACCTTTTTTCCCCCAATTTACAAAGCTAAACAGTCTTAATGTGAGCTGCAGCTGAAGTACCTGCTTAATATTCCTCAAATGGGTAGAAACTATTGTTCATGCAAAAACTTAATGGCTATTCTATTGAAGGCTTTTTCACAATTGTCAAAACTTAGATCCAACCAGGAAATCATGTGAATTTGCAAACTGTGATTAATGAAACAGGATTCAGTGTTGAAAAGGAAAGAGCTTTTAACACACAAAAGGATGTGTAAAATGAACGAAGTAGATCTAAAACATAGGTGATTTTATGAAAGACACACAACAGGAATTGCTACCTGCTGTATAAGTGTAATCTGAGTTCAAAAAAAGATGGATTAAAGGTATAAATAACATCCCTGAAACTATGAAACCATTACAAGAATCCAAAGTAGAAAAGTTCATGGCCCTGTCTTGGGCAGAATTTTTTGAAGTAACCATAAAAGAACAGGCAACAAAAGTGAAAACAGGCAAGGAATGCTACAGAGGGTGCACCAAACTCAAGGTCTTTTTCCTAGCAAGACAAAAAGTCTCCAGAGGTAAGAGACTGCCCACCGTGTTGGGATAGCATAGTTCTAGGCCTTGAGGTATCTATAAGGCATCAATACTCAAATTTTGTAAAACACTCAAAATTCTGCATGATAATAAAACTAATAGACTAGTTAAATAAATGAGACAAAGAATTTCATTAGGACATACAGATGGCTAACAGACATATGACAAAATGCTCAACCATGCTATCATGAAAGAAATGCAAATTGAAGTACAGTGAAATATCACCATTTATCTGGGCAGGGTACATGTTATAGGCACTACCAATGATAATAATATTTGCGAAAATGGTGTCCATCAGTACAAAGGTAAAGTTCAGCCATTAGCAAAAGCAGTGTGGAACACTTTTAAAAATTTACAGTGGAAACCTGGTATGATTTACTAATTGTGTTACATGTTCTTGCAGTCCTGGTCACTATAGCCACGATAGGGAATCAACGTACCATCAGTCAGTAGATGGATGAAAAGGGGAAGTGTGGATAGTAACACAGTGTAACAGTGTGTACTGCCTTATGAAGGAAGACACTCTTGCCATTTGTAGCATCTAGGCTAGTCCTGGATGACATTGTGTTAATTGAAATAAACGCAGAAGAACAAATATTGTATGATCTTGTTTCCATATTGAATCTAAAAATGTAGAACTCATAAGTACAGCAGACCATAGCCACTAAAGACTCTGACAGTGGTTAAGGCATTTTAGTAAAAGCACAAAATTTTTAAGCAGTTGAAGCACTCATTCCACAGCAGGTAGCTATAGTTAGTTAATAAATGTATTGTATCTTGAAAAATTCTGGAAGGATCTGTTTTAAAGGTTTTCACCACAATAATAACAAGTACTTAAGATATTACATGCCATTCTGAGCTTGAATTGTGTATGTTAATTTGTAAAGTATGTTACTGCAATCATTATGCCATCTTCAAGTTCAAAATACCTGTTGAACAGGACAAATAAATATGATTTTTGTCAGTTAATAAATTTGAAAGCATCTTCATGTAAACTAATACCATCTTTGGCTGTACTATAAACTCAAAATCATGCATAATTAAGAGAAAATACAAAAAAGGATAATAACTTAAAGACAAATTTAATTTTAAGTGTGAAGAAAAGATTACAGTTATGCCTTTTAGATTTCTGCCTTGATCTGAAAAGAACGGGTGAAGAGTATGGAAAGTTCTAGCTCCAAATTTCAGTTTTATGCTTTCAATATTTCTGGGGACATAGGTGTCTGTGAAGCATTCAGATACATGGATCATGAAGTACAATGTATCTGGTATGGTTCTGTGTTTAAGACAGATCTGGAAGCCATAGAAAATAATTAAATCACTTAGAGAAATTGAGATTTGAGAGGAGAGTGAATGTAAGTCATGGTGTGCCGTACAGTGAAGTCATGGGTGGGAGAGGGTTAAGTTCAGTAGAAAGCAAGGGAGCTCGGATTGAAAGATGAGTATCAGATGTAGCAGCCAGTTGTTCACAGCATGCTTAGTATTAGAATCCTGATTGTTTTGTCCACAGTATATTTGTTTGTCCTGAAAATACCTTTCCTGGGAAAAGAATACTTACTAGAATATTGTTAGAGCACAGGGCAGCACGGTTATGTGCTCTCGGAGCTGTTGGTTGCTGTTTTAGTACTTCTGTACGATTATGCTGTGTACACAGATGTTATGAAATGTGTATGTTAGCCTTCAGATGAGCCTGATGAGGAGGAAGCTTAGAGCTCTGACAGCAGCTAGTGAGAATGGATTAAGTTATAACCTCGGCATATTTACAGGCAGCGGGAGGAACTGGAGGATGGATGTAGGCAGCTTGGAAATATAGAAAGGAGCCTTTCTGGAGTCATACAAAGAGTCAAAATGGAATCAAATACTGAGAGTAAATTTACTTTTAACATAAAGGAAAAAAAATAAAAAGAAATAGATTGTGGAGTGTGTGTGTGTGTGTGTGTGTGTGTCTGTCTGTCTGTCATCTCTCTCTTTGTGTGATTCCTTATTTATGAAGAAAAAGAATAGCTTTTCTTGAGAGTCATTCAACTCTTCCTCAGAAATAGAGGGATGGAAGAGAGTGAGCACATGCAAAAAATGATCTTAAAATGTTCCTTTGTCCTTTGTGGAAAAGAAGTGTCCCTGGAAGTTGATACGGTTCAATTCCCAGCTGGGTATAGACATGTGGTGCCTATATTATGTATGTGTTTGCCTTTGTCACCCTAGCCATCTGAATGAGTTTTTAAATTTAAATTCCATAGGATGCTAGACATGCAGCTGAAGAAGAGATATATACAAACTTAAATCAGAAGATTGACCAGTTTCTGCAGCTGGCTGACTACGACTGGATGACAGGAGACCTGGACAACAAAGCCAGTGATTACCTAGTAGACCTCATCGCCTTCCTTCGCAGCACGTTTGCTGTGTTCACACACCTTCCTGTAAGTGATTGTTGTTTCTATTTTCCCCTCTAAATAGAAAATGGTGTCTTAAACTAGAGTTTTGCCAAGGTTTCGTTTATGATTTAACTTGCCAGAGACCTCTTTAGTGTCTAATCCTCCAAGGATTTTGATGCCTCTCGTATAATCTGTTTTCAAAGACTTTAAAGTTCATCTATTCTATAAGGTCTTCCGTCTAAGTTCAAAGTCATTAGTATAGGACATAACAGATACATTGTAAAGAGTATCAAAGAGACTTGCTAGTTAATAATTAAGGTCTGTTTCTTTTAGTTTTAGAACATCTTTTTTTTTTATGAGTTGAAATTTTTTGATGAACCTCCCTAATTTTTAGTGTAGTTTATAGTTGTTTTCTTGATTATATTAGTAAAGTCATTTAAAGTTATGTTTGTTAACTTACTATTTATGTACATATTGATAGATTTGATTTTTAGTGAAATGTTTGTTTCTTCATAGTATTTTTGTTGTTAGACATTGTATTTAAACCGCTTTAATGTCTAAGAGCTAATCGATGTGTAAATCCCTACAGGGATTTGTTTTCAAAGATTTTTGAAGTTTGTCTATTCTGTCAGGTCTTCTATCTAGCTTTCTAAGATTCTGCTTCCTAATTTTGCTCATTCTTTCCCTTGTTGAGTAAGGATTTGGGGTGATGGTTACATGTGGATTGATCTGTAGTCGCAGGCTTGGGTTTCAGTTGTTATGCATCTTTAGGCATCCCTGTTGCTAGTTAAGTTACTATAGGGCATTGTGAGCACAGGCCTGTCATTGTCTTCAGCACCAAAATCTGTGCAGTTCAGTCTTCTGCCTTCTTCAGGCAGATACTGAGAAAGAATTTTAGCAGTAGACTGATACACAGTTAGAAATAGTTAAAAACAACAACAAAATCAACTTGTAAGTTGTCGGTATCTGTGAACCACTCCCCCACTTTTTGCTTTTCCTATAGTCTCAGTGTCTGTGTACACCAAGAATTCATGTTGGGCCTATTTAACACTGTATAGCAGAAGGAGTTCCTGAAGGTGATGGCCATGGGCTGCGGCCTTCCTGAGGAGGTCTAGAAAGCATTTTGTTTCTTCTTTTATAATTGAATGCCTAAGAAATATATGTCTTCTGAATTGCAAATGGGCCCTCACTGACACTGAATATGCTATCACCTGGATCTTGACTTCCCAGGTTTCAGTACTGGGAGGAATAAAATTCTGTTGTTTATGAGCTACAGGTCAAAGATAGATATTATGTGAGAGTAAAGGGCTGGAAAATGGCTTTCCAAGCAAATGGACCCAGGAAGCAAGCAGGAGTAGCCATTCTAATATCTAATAAAATAGACTTTCAACCAAAATTACTCAAAAGAGATGGGGAAGGTCATTTCATACTCATCAAAGGAAAATGTCACCAAGAAGACACCACAGTTCTGAACGTCTATCCCCCAAATACAAGAGCACCCACATTTATAAAAGAAACATTAATAAAACTGAAACCACACATAGATCCCCACACATTAATAGTGGGAGTCTCAACAAAGGACAGGTCAACAAACCAGAAATTAAACCAAGAAACAATGACTCTAACAGAGGTCATGAATCAAATGGACCTAACAGACATCTACAGAACCTTTCAACCAAACAAAAAAGAATTTACCTTTTTCTCAGCACCTCATGGAACCTTCTTCAAAATAGACCATATAGTTGGTCACAAAACGAACCTCAACAGATGCAAAAAGATTGAAATAATCCCTTGTGTCCTATCTGACCACCATGGCCTAAAGATGGATCTCAATGACAAGAAAAATAACAAAAAGCCTATACACACATGGAAACTGAACAACTTGCTACTCAAATGACAGCTGGGTCAGGGAAGAAATAAAGAAATAAATCAAAATATTCCTAGAATTCAATGAAAATGAAGGCACAACATACCCAAACTTATGGGACACAATGAAAGCAGTGCTAAGAGGAAAGTTCATAGCACTAAGTGCCTTCAAGAAGAAATTCAAGACATCTCATGCCAGCGACGTAATGGCTCACCTAAAAGCCCTAGAAAAAAAGAAGCAGACACACCAAAGAGGAGTAGAAGGTTGGAAATAATCAAACTCGGGGCTAAAATCAATAAATTAGAAACAAATAAAACAATTCAATAAAAATCAGTGAAACCAAGAGCTGGTTCTTTGAGAAAATCAACAAGATAGACAAACCCTTAGCCAAACTAACTTAAAGGCAAAGAGACACTATCAAAATTAACAAAATCAGAAATGAAAAGGGGGACATAACTACAGACACTGAGGAAATCCAAACCATCATTAGGACTTACTTCCAAAGTCCATATGCCACAAAATTTGAAAATCTAAATGAAATGGACAATTTTCTTGATGGATTCTACTTACCAAACCTGAATCAACACCAGGTAAATCAATTAAATAGTCCTCTATCCCCTAAGGAAATGGAAGCAGTCATCAAAAGTCTCCCATCCAAAAAAATCCCAGGACCAGATGGTTTCAGCGCAGAATTCTACCAAACCTTCAAAGAAGAGCTAACTCCAGTTCTCTTCAAACTATTCCACAAAATAGAAACAGAAGGAACATTACCAAACTCATTCTATGAAGCCACAGTCACCTTGGTACCTAAACCTCACAAAGACCCAACAAAGAAAGAGAATTTCAGTCCAGTCTCCCTTATGAACATTGATGCAGAAATACTCAACAAAATACTTGCAAACCGAATACAAGATCACATCAAATATATCATCCACTATGACCAAGTAGGCTTCATCCCAGGTTTGCAGGGGTGGTTCAATATATGGAAATCCATCAATGTGATCCACCATATTAACAAACTGAAAGAAAAAAAAACCCACATGATCATCTCCTTAGATGCTGCAAAAGCATTTGACAAAATCCAACATCCATTCATGTTTAAAGTATTGCAGAGATTGGGGATACAAGGCATATACCCAAACATAGTAAAGGCAATATACAGCAAGCCTATAGCCAACTTCAAACTAAATGGACAGAAACATAAAGCAATCCCACTGAAATCAGGGACAAGGCAAGGCTGCCCACTCTCTCCGTATCTCTTCAAGATAGTGCTGGAAGTCCTTGCTAGAGCAATAACACAATTGAAGGAGATCAAGGGGATACGAATCGGAAAGGAAGAAGTCACAGTATCACTATTTGCAGATGATATGATAGTATACCTGAGTGACCCCAAAAATTCTACCAGGGAACTCCTATAGCTGATAAACACCTTCAGCAAGCTGGCTGGATACAAAATTAACTCAAAAAAAAAAAATCAGTAGCCCTCTTGTATACAAAAGACAAAAGGGCTGAGAAAGAAATCAGGGAAACAACACCCTTCACAATAGTCACAAAAGACATAAAGTACCTTGGTGTGAACCTAACCAAGCAAGTCAAAGACTTGTATGAAAAAAATTTCCAGTTTCTAAATAAAGAAATAGAAGATGATATCAGAAGATGGAAAGATCTCCCATGCTCATGGCTTGGCAGGATTAACATAGTAAAAATGGCCATCTTGCCAAAAGCAATCTACAGATTCAATGCAATTCCCACCAAATAACCAACACAATTCTTTACAGACCTTGAAAGAAAAATTCTCAACTTCATATGGAGTAACAAGAAACCCAGAATTGCTAAAATAATCCTCCACAATAAAAGATTTTCTGGAGGTATCTCTATCCCTGATCTCAAGCTGTACTATAGAGCAACAGTAATAAAAACTGCATGGTACTAGCATAGAAACAGAATGGTGGATCAATGGAATCAAGTAGAAGACCCAGAAATGAACCCACACACTTACAGATACCTGACCTTTGACAAAATCATACAATGGAAAAAAAGATAGCATCTTCAACAAATGGTGCTGGTCTAGCTGGATGTCTACATGTAGAAAAATGCAAATAGATCCATATTTATCACCCTGCACAAAACTAAAGTCCAAGTGGATCAAAGACCTCAATATAAAACCAGAAACATTAAACCTGTTAGAAGAAAGAGTGGGGAAGAGCCTTGAACTCATAGTCACAGGAGACAACTTCCTGAACAGAACACCAACAGCACAGGCTCTAAGAGCAACAATCAATAAATGGGACTTCATGAAACTGAACAGCTTCTGTAAAGCAAAGGACACTGTTGTCAGAACAAAACGACTACCTACAGATTAGGAAAGGGTCTTTACCAACCCTGTATCTGACAGAGGACTAATATCCAGTATATATAAAGAACTAAAGAAGTTAAAAAGCAACATATTAAGTAATCCAGTTAAAATATGGGAAACAGGACTAAACAGAGAATTCTCAATAGAGGAATATGGAATGGCAGAGAAACACTTAAAGAAATGCTCAACCTCATTAGCCATCAGGGAAATGCAAATCAAAACGACCCTAAGATTTCACCTTACACCCATCAAAATGGCTAAGATCAAAAACTCAAGTGACAGTACATGCCAGAGAGGTTGTGGAGAAAGGGGAACCCTCCACTGCTGGTGGGAATGTAAACTTGTACAACCACTCTGGAAATCAATCTGGCGCTTTCTCAGACAACTAGGAATAGCTTTTCCTCAAGATCCGGCCATCCCAGTTCTAGGCCTATATCCAATGGAGGCTCAAGTACGCAATAAAGATAGTTGCTCAACCATGTTTGTAGCAGCTTTATTTGTAATAGCCAGAAGCTGGAAACAACCAAGGTGCCCCTCAACTGAGGAATGGATACAGAAAGTATGGTATATATACACAATGGAATATTACTCAGCAATAAAAAAAAAAAACAAAGAAATCATGAAATTTGCAGGTAAATGGTGGGAACTGGAAAAGATCATCCTGAGTGAACTATCCCAGAAGCAGAAAGACACAAACGGTATATACTCACTCATATATACATGTAATATAGGATAAACCTACTAAAATTTGTACACCTAAAGAAACTAATCAAGAGGGAGAACTCTGGCTAATATGCTCAATCCCCATCCAGAAAGGCAAAG